ATGCTTTATACAAAACTAAAAAGTAATCTTTACCTATACTTTAATGGTTGTCGATACTTACACAATAGCTACTGAAAGTTCACAAACACATATAGCTCACCTGATATTTGTTTTATATACATTGCAGGAAATTCTAGAAAACCAGAGTCAAAATGCAAAACCGGGGAAGATCCTTTATTGCCGAGTGGTTATTTTTTCAATACACAATGGAACCCTGCCAACTGTAAAAGTTATCTTCCAGAGTCCTCTTCTGCCATCAGCAAATGTCTGTCTGGTAAAATGATCTATTTCATGGGAGATTCAACATTGCGCCAATGGATTGAGTACATGCCAAAAGTCATAAAAAGTAAAGTGATCAAACTTAAATATTGAAAAAAAGAGTGTTGTGTAGTGGCATATAAATACCATTTAAAAATCAGCTTCCCTAAATTTAGTGTAGCCAGAATAAAAAAAGTTATGGTTATTGGCTCTCACTGTCGCTCCTCTGCTTGCTAAACCAAGTAATGGCAGAGGCACAAAGGCAACAAATCAGTGACCGTGCCTCACACAGAGCCATAGTGAACAGGTGGAGGTGGACAATAGGACATCAGCTGGTGGGTCCTGGATGCAACTGACAGGTAAGTATTTTTGTTGTGGATGGAGGAGCGGCTTGTAATGAGGATAAGCCAAGCAGCAATGAACCTATTTTGACTTATAGTGTATGATAAACCCTGACAATGAGCTTCTTTTAGTTGTTTCTCTTTAGTTCCACTTCCTGTGTTTTTTCAAGCAGTCTAATTAGCCCTCCTTGGAACTACAGACTAAATAGGGTAGGGGTGGGTTTTGGTAGTTTAGCAAAATAAAACCAGGCAGAGCTGATACCGCTCTGTCCCCCCAAAAATGCTGTGTGTTGTCAGCTGGCAACAGGACTTAAGAGTGCAGCTGATGTCTTTCAGATCAACAGGTATTTTTCGGCTTTAATGGAATAAAACACAGTATATATGCATGAAGATGTGTACTTTATTTATTTTTTTGCCTTGGGAAGTTATCAAATAACCCATGGAGGAGGTGTAAATAGAGAATAGAAGCGGCTCAAGCACAGAGCTTTGGAGGACCCACGGAAAGAGGACGAAGAGAGCAGGAGAATACCCAATCATGTGCAAAGAATACCCAATCATGCCCAATCATGTGCACAGTATTTTTGCTTGCACTTGATTGGATGGTGGATCTCAACAGAGCATTCAATAAGCTAAAGGAACATTTTATTGCAAATTGAAAAGCCTATTTGCCTTTAATATATCATTCCCAAAGAATCAAGCATCTGTTGACCAGAGATGATGGAGCTTGGGTGCTTGGAAAGGTGAGCTGCAGGAATTTAACTTTTCCAGTTCCCTGGTTGCATACCTTCAATTGACCACCTTCTTTTTTGTTTTTATTTCAAAAAGTTTTTGGATATATGACAAAATATGTATTATAGTTTTATAGCTAAATTCATCTTTATTGGGGTTTTTTTCTACATGGAACCAAAAGATCCAATATAGGCGTGGAAATTCCAAAGAACATTGGCAGTGTTGATGTTCAGCAATGCAACAGTGAGTTTTAATTTTTTTAAATCCAAGGTTCTACAATGCCAATACATCTGTAGGTGTATCATTCCTCATTAGCAATGACTACCGTGTTTCCCCGAAAATAAGACAGTGTCTTATATTTTTTTTTCTACGAAAAAAGACACTAGGTCTTATTTTCGGGGGATATCTTACCTGGCTGCAGCTGTCCGCTCTGCCGTCAAGGGAGCCACAGACAGGTGGGCGGGCAGGAGGGCGTGCCTGGTGGGAGGGAGGGAGCTGCGGCTAGCGCTCTGATGCTGTCCAGGGAGCCGCTCTGGGTGCTCTGTCAGCCAATCGGAAGGCTTCTGGCAGTGTGTGTGGGGGGCCCTGGGCTGTGCTCGGCACGCATTGTGGTCAGGATGATGAAGAGCCGCTCGGCTCAGTAACGGTTTGATGGGCGGGCGGCGTGCGTGCAGGCGGGGGGGGGGAGGTCTTTTTTTCGGGGAAACACGGTATATTAAGGAAAAATTACAGGAAATGTAAAAAAAAACTGTTTCCCCTATATTAAATGATAAAAGATGGGGTCACGTTGGGTAAAAAGACACCAAACACGTCAAGCCTTAAAATTGCGTGTGCGCGCGCGCAACCGCGAAAAACTACAATACCCAAATTTGGCCTTAGGCAACGCTTTAAAAGCTTTTACCACTCATCAGTTTAGTGTTATCAGTTATTGATGGCCCTAAAATGATTGCTCTCACTCCGACGTTCCCGGCGATATGTAACGTGTGTAATTGTCAATTGTCTCCAGGACCCCCTAATGTCACCTCGGGACCCCAAAAGAAGCTGATGAAACACACAGATCTGCTTTATCAGCTTCTTTTCTCTGGCTATAGCAGCCAGATGACTGACAGGTGAATGTGGAAGTGATGTATTGCACATCACTTCCGCGTTCACAGCACGGAGAGCGATCAGCAAGGAGGAAGATGCTGATCTCCCTCCGATCTTACCTCCTGATGCCCTCCTGAGCCGGTCCCGGGCGCAGATGGGCTAATGGATCCCGGGATTGAAGGTGAGGGGTCACCAGAATAAAAAAAGTTATGGTTATTGGCTCTCACTGTCGCTCCTCTGCTTGCTAAACCAAGTAATGGCAGAGGCACAAAGGCAACAAATCAGTGACCGTGCCTCACACAGAGCCATAGTGAACAGGTGGAGGTGGACAATAGGACATCAGCTGGTGGGTCCTGGATGCAACTGACAGGTAAGTATTTTTGTTGTGGATGGAGGAGCGGCTTGTAATGAGGATAAGCCAAGCAGCAATGAACCTATTTTGACTTATAGTGTATGATAAACCCTGACAATGAGCTTCTTTTAGTTGTTTCTCTTTAGTTCCACTTCCTGTGTTTTTTCAAGCAGTCTAATTAGCCCTCCTTGGAACTACAGACTAAATAGGGTAGGGGTGGGTTTTGGTAGTTTAGCAAAATAAAACCAGGCAGAGCTGATACCGCTCTGTCCCCCCAAAAATGCTGTGTGTTGTCAGCTGGCAACAGGACTTAAGAGTGCAGCTGATGTCTTTCAGATCAACAGGTATTTTTCGGCTTTAATGGAATAAAACACAGTATATATGCATGAAGATGTGTACTTTATTTATTTTTTTGCCTTGGGAAGTTATCAAATAACCCATGGAGGAGGTGTAAATAGAGAATAGAAGCGGCTCAAGCACAGAGCTTTGGAGGACCCACGGAAAGAGGACGAAGAGAGCAGGAGAATACCCAATCATGTGCAAAGAATACCCAATCATGCCCAATCATGTGCACAGTATTTTTGCTTGCACTTGATTGGATGGTGGATCTCAACAGAGCATTCAATAAGCTAAAGGAACATTTTATTGCAAATTGAAAAGCCTATTTGCCTTTAATATATCATTCCCAAAGAATCAAGCATCTGTTGACCAGAGATGATGGAGCTTGGGTGCTTGGAAAGGTGAGCTGCAGGAATTTAACTTTTCCAGTTCCCTGGTTGCATACCTTCAATTGACCACCTTCTTTTTTGTTTTTATTTCAAAAAGTTTTTGGATATATGACAAAATATGTATTATAGTTTTATAGCTAAATTCATCTTTATTGGGGTTTTTTTCTACATGGAACCAAAAGATCCAATATAGGCGTGGAAATTCCAAAGAACATTGGCAGTGTTGATGTTCAGCAATGCAACAGTGAGTTTTAATTTTTTTAAATCCAAGGTTCTACAATGCCAATACATCTGTAGGTGTATCATTCCTCATTAGCAATGACTACCGTGTTTCCCCGAAAATAAGACAGTGTCTTATATTTTTTTTTCTACGAAAAAAGACACTAGGTCTTATTTTCGGGGGATATCTTACCTGGCTGCAGCTGTCCGCTCTGCCGTCAAGGGTGCCACAGACAGGTGGGCGGGCAGGAGGGCGTGCCTGGTGGGAGGGAGGGAGCTGCGGCTAGCGCTCTGATGCTGTCCAGGGAGCCGCTCTGGGTGCTCTGTCAGCCAATCGGAAGGCTTCTGGCAGTGTGTGTGGGGGGCCCTGTGCTGTGCTCGGCACGCATTGTGGTCAGGATGATGAAGAGCCGCTCGGCT